GCCTTTTAACCATAGGAGAAAATGTTTTTCAAAACCAATAGCCCATGTAAAAGGTTTATGCTATTTAATGGCACTTATGCTGTATTCTCACATTTGCTTCACAGACATTCAATTCAATCAGAAAATCATTACCTTCTTTCTCAGTTTCTCAGACACACAATGTTTTACTGGAACAGGTTTTGAAAATAGAACTTTTAATCATTTCAATTCGTCTTTGAAGCACATAAACAAATTATTTTTGGAATGAGTTTATGCGGCTTTCAATTTGTTCTTAGGATATAATTGTTAAATTGCTGTTTTAGTTTTTTTGTTGTTGTTTTTGGACGGCACCTGCTTGTTAATAGAAGCCAGTGTTTGCTTTATTTTTGGTTCTGTTTGGGTCAACCAATTGGGAAGGGATATAATCATTCTGGGTTCTACCAGCAATCGTTAATCTGGTTTGGATAAGCTTTGCACAGGTCTGTCGTGGATCAGGTCAAACATTTTGGACCTATCAAGACAAAAGACTGGGGTCCACAATCAAAGAGGGTTCATAAAAATTCCAGGAGGAATTTTCAAATTTTTCAAATAACTATTTTTTGTAGGACAATGAGTAATACATCTATCTGACCATACAGCTTTAAAGGGGTTGAATATCTGAGTAACAATCTTCAAGCAGTAAGAAACACAATTTCAAACGATGGATAAAACTTTTTTAAACAGCCTGCATTAAGCAACATGCTGTGTGGGTTATATGACAAGCAACAACAAAACTATGTGCAACAAGCAAGACAGGATAAAGACTTATAAAACTAGAGGGCCCTCAGTAGTGGGATGTAGTCGCCCCTGCTGGCCCTGATAAGGCATTTAAAAAAAAAAAAATTGACAGTAGACCTCTAGCGCAGCTATTTCAGCACTGATTGAGTCCAATATCTAATAATTCTGAGGAGAAGCCATTCTTTGCTCACCTCCAAAATATCAACTTGTTAGACTTTAGCACTCAATTGAATTTCCCTTCTGGGATAAATAAAGTATTTTTCATTTAATTTCATTTCAAGCTAGAGACTGTTCACAGACACATGGACAGACAAATAGGACCGATAACTCTATAGTTGCCTCCCTGGTCAGAGACAACTTTAATGAAAATTAAATGTAAACTGAAAAACAAAAACTAGGTAAAACAGGATAACAACGTGCCAGGTCAAATTCTAAAATAAAACAAGCACAGCACCACCACAATAATCAGACTGTTAAGAAAATACAAAAGTCCCTGAAAACACGCACATCTTGAGATTATTCATAAAAAATGTCAATGGAAAAGAACTATTTGATTAAAGACGGAAGGCTATTCCAACACTTTGGAGCTGCCACTGCAAAGGCACAGTTTCCTTTATGCCGTAGCCTTGATCATAGAACAGCAGCTGTTCTGCGGATCTAAGAAGCCTGAAGGCAGAGCAGGGGCAGAGTAGGTCTCAAGTGTATCTAGGTGCCAGCCCATGCATGGCTTTACAATGCCTATAAAAAGTATTCACCCCCTTGGGCATTGTCCTGTTTTTTTTGTGTTTTGTTTTGCCTTTCAACATTTAATCATGAATAATAATTATTGTTATTGACAAGCAATTTTTTAAAAAGGCTTATGTCAAAGTGAAAAAAGATGTCTACAAAGTAATGTCAGTGAATTTGAAAATTCCCTCGAGTAGACTGTTCCCAAAAACCGTGACCGTGCAAGAAAGAGACTAGAGAGGGAGGCCACCAAGACACCAATGACCCCTCTGATGGAGTTATAAGCTTCAGTGGCTGAGATGGGAGAGACTGTGAATATATCAGCTGTTGCCAGGGTTCTTTACCAGTCAAAGCTTTATAGGGGAGTGGTAAAAAGAAAGCCACTGTTGAAAAGGCTCATATTAAACCTTGACTAGAGTTCATTAAAAGTCATGCGGGACACTCTAAAGTCGAATGACAGAAGGTTCTTTGCTTGGACGTGACCAAAGTTGTGCTCTATGGCCATCATTTAGCAAACACCAAACACTGCACATCATTACAAACACACCATCCACACCGCATAGTGGTGGCAGCATCATGATGTAGGGATTTTTTATCAGCAGCAAACCCTGGACGGCTTGTAAAGGTAGAAGGTAAAATAAATGCAATAAAGTATAAGAAAATCCTGGAGGACAACCTGATGCAGTCTGCAAAAGTACTGTGACTTGGGGGGGAAGATTTATTTACCAGCAAGACACAGAAATGGTTTAAAGACAACAAATTGAATGTTTTAGAGTGGATGAGTCAGAGCCCATACCTCAATTCAATGGAGAATTTGTGACTGGACTTGAAAATATCTGTTCACTCACTATCACTGTGCAACCCGGCAGTTTTGCAAAAAAAAAAAAGACTGGGATAAAATCGCAGTGCTCAGACGCGCGAGGCTGATCGAGACACACACAGGCTTAATACTGTAGCTGAGGCCAAATGTGCACCGACTAAATACTGACATGAGGGAGTGAATACTAACGCAATCACTCATATAGTGACTACGTCCCACTTTCAGCCTCTACAGGTTGTAAATCAGTGTCTTCGGTTCTGACGTGTTAATTGGACCAGAAACTCTCACAACACTTTCAGTTCCAATTTTCTGACTTCAGTCTGTATGAATTAAACAGAAATAAAGAATATCCCATTGCTCCATTCCTTATATCTGATAACAGTCGAAAAAAAATTTTGTTTGCGTCCCACCTGTCATCAGTGGCATGCACTTTTATAAACTGGGCTACCTTTACAAGACTCTACGCCCCCTAGTGTTTGGTAAAAAATAACAACAACATATATGGCTATTACAATTTATTTAACATTTTATATTTGTATTGAGGAGTTTGCATGTTCTCCCTGTGCAGCGTGGGTTCTCTCCGGGTTCTCCGGCTTCCTCCCACACAGTCCAAAAACATGTTGAGGTTAATTGGTGATTCTAAATTGTCCGTAGGTGTGAATGTGAGTGTGCTTGGTTGTCTGTCTCTACGTGTAGCCCTGTGATAGACTGGTGACCTGTCCAGGGTGTCCCCTGCCTTCGCCCTAAGTCGGCTGGGATAGGCTCCAGCCCCCCGCAACCCTAGTGAGGATTAAGCGGTGTATAGATAATGGATGGATGGATATTTGTATTGAATTTGGCATTAATTTGTAGAAATCTGTTTTCATTTTGACATGAAAAGGTCTTTTAAGAAATGCATTTTATCAAAAAAGGCAAAATATTGTCCACAAACAGCAATAAAAGGGGAAAACTATATATATATATATAACCTAAAGAACTTTGGAATCAATTCTGTAACAGGTGCAGAGATGTCAGAACAGCAATAACACTGCTGCGGTTTGTCGTATGAACTTAAAAGTTGTTAAGATTTGTGTGCAACTTGTTTCTTTTGCTCAGGAGAGGACGAATGCATGAATAAATAAATTCAAATCGTAGCTTTAATGAAAAGACAAATGTTGTAATAAGGGGGCCTGTGAATCGCTAGCTACGCCCCTGCTGGTTGGATTCTGTGGGCAACTCAGCTGGTGGCAGTTGCTTTTGATATGAGGAAATAGGATTGGTTCAGCAGTGCACGCATGATGTGCGAATTTAGGGAGAGGAAACGCCATTTGTGCCTCATTGCGCACGGTCCAGAGTCCTGATCCAGGTTTCCTGTAAATGCAGTTTTGGTTCACAATCTGCCCTGCGCAGAGAGAGAGAGAGAGAGAGAGAGAGAGAGAGAGAGAGAGCGCTCCTCCTCCTCCTCTGTCTCTTCCCACCACTCATCCCGAAAAAAAAGCCAAGGTAAGACGGTCCTCACGGCGGAGTTCTCTGTCATTTCTCCCTTCGCATCATGGAAACTGAATTAAAACAGCTGTTGGTTCGTCCGTCACCGGCACTTTTACGCGTTCGCCTCAGCGTCTGTCTCATGTGATTCTCCTCTTCGCCGAATAACTTCTTCTTTCCTGGTATTTTTTTTTTCTTTTTCTTTCTCTTTTTTTGTTGGTCGTTTTCCAGACACGCTATCAAAAAATAACCAACGACTTGTAACTAAACTGCTCTGGAAAGAAGGTCGTGTTCCTTCTGGATGGAGAGTTTCGAATCGGTGAGTTCAAAATCGGCCACTGTGGTCAACACGAAGCTGCAAATATCAGCTGTTTTTTTTTTTTTTTAGTTATCATCCTTGTATCGCCTTCCCTCCTCCCCTTCCCCTCCCACGTACACGGATTTAGCAGCCAATTTGTCTTTAAGAAGGATTGAAAATGCTTGTTGAGAATCGGGATAGTCGTGCCTTTTGATCGGAAAAAAATCTAAACTAGTTTCATTAATCTTGAGCACAATAACGATGCATGTGCTGTTTTCTACTTGGAACTCAACAGGTTTTTTTTGAATTCCCTGCATCCCTCGTTGTAAAAGCAAAGAGTTATTTAAAAAGAAAGAAAGAAAGAGAGAAATGAAGACGCACAGTAATGCAGTTGCTTTTCTTGCTTGCCTTCAGTTTCCAACCTGTAAGATGCAGTGAACTGTGGTTCTGAGAAGGCTGCTTGTTAACAGTAACTCAATAGAGGGGAACAGAGGAATATAGCCTTGAAGTTATTATAAGGAAGATGATGCTTATTGGAAATGCACTATGTCCCTGTAATCACATTTAGGCTCACTATATCAAATGGAAATGCATTTTATATACTGTACTGTAAAGGTTTCTCACCCAAGTGTTAAGTTAAATTTGATTACCATTAAAGATACCCTCTGCAATCTGAGCAGTACTGCCTTTTTAGAATACGAGTTGTGTAGTTCGTTTAGTCATGTCTGCTACCTTTTATCAACTTTTTCTTGCATTTTTTTCCCGTACATTCAAGTGCCTTCTCCTTTTTCCTGTTTTATCACCATCTCACTCCTGTGCTTCCTGCCCTCCCTCCCTCCCTCCCTCTCGTCCCTCTCAGATGGTGAATGAGCTGAAGTCAAGCTGGTTGTGAAGGTGCTGGACTTGTTCCCCCCTACGCCCCAAGCCGGACACAGCATGGCGGCGGGAGTAGCGGCATGGCTTCCCTTTGCCCGGGCAGCAGCGATCGGCTGGATGCCCGTGGCCAACTTGCCCATGCCCGTGGCGCCCACTGAAAAGAACAAGCGGCAGGATGAGCTGATCATTCTTAACGTCAGTGGACGTCGGTTCCAGACGTGGAAGAACACGCTGGACCGCTATCCGGACACACTGCTGGGCAGCTCAGAGAAGGAGTTCTTCTACAACGAGGAGACCAAAGAGTACTTCTTCGACCGGGACCCCGACGTGTTCCGCAGCGTGCTCAACTTCTATCGCACAGGCAAGCTCCACTATCCACGCTACGAGTGCATCTCCTCCTATGATGAGGAACTGGCTTTCTTTGGCATCGTCCCAGAGATCATTGGTGACTGCTGCTACGAAGAGTACAAGGACAGGAAGAGGGAGAACGCAGAGCGCCTGATGGACGACCAGGAGGACAACAAGGATGCTAAGCTGCCCAACATGACCTTCAGGGAGACCATGTGGCGGGCTTTCGAGAACCCTCACACTTCCACCATGGCCCTCGTCTTCTACTACGTTACTGGCTTCTTCATTGCCGTCTCCGTCATCACCAACGTGGTAGAGACGGTGCCCTGTGGCTCAGCGCCCAACCAGAAGGAGGTGCCATGTGGCGAGCGCTACACCGTGGCCTTTTTCTGCATGGACACGGCCTGCGTCATGATCTTCACCGTGGAGTACCTGATGCGCTTGTTCGCCGCGCCCAGCCGTTACCGCTTCATGAGATCCGTCATGAGCATCATTGACGTGGTGGCCATCTTGCCCTACTACATCGGCCTGGTGATGACTGACAACGAGGACGTGAGCGGCGCTTTCGTGACCCTCCGTGTTTTCCGCGTGTTCCGTATCTTTAAGTTCTCCCGGCACTCGCAGGGCCTGCGCATCCTGGGCTACACGCTGAAGAGCTGTGCCTCGGAGCTGGGCTTCCTGCTCTTCTCCCTCACTATGGCCATAATTATCTTTGCTACCGTCATGTTCTACGCAGAGAAGGGTTCAAGCTCCAGCAAATTCACCAGCATCCCAGCCTCCTTCTGGTACACCATCGTTACTATGACAACGCTCGGGTAAGAGCAGAGCAGACACCTCTTTTTATCTGGTTGTGTGTGCTGTGTGTGTGTGTGTGAGTGCAAGCTTTTGTGTGCGTGAATTTGTGTGTATATGCCTGTTTGCAGTTGGGTCTGTTGTGTGAGTAAATGTTTGACTGTGATTTCACTTGAAATGTGTGTCTGACTTTATGGCCCAAAAACCTACAACTGCTTCAGAAGTCAGTGCCACTCTTTCCAAGATATCCTTTACAAACTTTACGCATAATGATAAGAAACTACAGAGAAAGGGCACTTTTCAGCGCACTGTGCCTACTGTGTTTTTACCGACGGTATTCTTCTGGGGGAAGAGCAGCCATCAAGATGTTCTCTCTCAGTAATGACTGTGCCATTGCTCGCCCTTTATACATCACCGATAAGAGGGAGAGAGAGAGAGAGATGTAGAGAAAAGGGGAAAGTTGAAAGCATCCTAGTGAAACAAAGCATTAGATAGGAAACAGAGAAATAGATTATACCATTACTTCCCTCCCTAACTTGCCCTGTGGTTAGCAGCAATGCACTTTCCGAATGAACTGAAACGGTGACTTCGCATGTTGAGAGCCTTCCTCCTCCTCGACGCACTCTTTGTGAGTTACTAGTTGCTGGCCTTGAAGTGCCTTGTGGTACAAAGGCTCTAATGCAGCACACCAGAATGTTCTCCATTTTAAGAGGCGAGCCACTGGTTCAGTTATCTGCACGTAAGAAACCGGCAGAGATAATTATTGTTAATAATACGCACTTTTAAAAGGCGTGCATGTTTCCTTTATACGCTGAATGCCTCATTCACCTGTTGTTATTGTGTCTTTTTTGCCAAGTTAAGTGGCTTTGATTGAGTTTTTCAAAATGAACATTTGAAGAATTTTGATTCATTGATTTTATTTGATCTGATGCCTGTTTTTCTCCATTTTCATGTCATCATGTATTTCCAACAGGCATTTTATGGTAGTGGTCGGGGGGGGAACCACACATCCATCATTACGTTTACAGTGCACACACACACATACACACAGAGTTATGTGATGCGGCACTATTAGGCCTAATGGTAAAGTGTTTTATGAGTGTCCCCTGTTGTGGATGTGTGAGTCAGACTGAGAGGCTGACAAATTGCAGCATCCTGCTAAATGTCAGAGTCATGGTGGCCATAAATGGCTCTGAGCTCATTGCTGTGACACACTTGGCACTGTGTCATTGTGCCCTGCCATTCACAACCTGCCCGGAAGATCTGGTGTTGTGCAGATATTTGATTCTGGATGGGTTGTTTGGTCTGCAGGCAGGCAAACAGCCGCTGAACTGTGGAAAACAGAACGACATCCTCTGCTCCGTTGTTTGTTAATTTTCTCGACGTGCCGCATCTTGTTTTTGCTTTTCCACCCGACGCTTGCGCTCTCTCGCAGTACCTGTCCTTGTCCCACCTGAGACGCTAAAGCGGTCTCCTGTTGCGTTTACAGTAGAATTGAGGATGTGTGTGTGTGTTTGTTTGTGTGTTAAGAGAGGGGTAGTTGTTGAGCTTGGCCTCATCAATAAAGCAGGGGCCAGAAGTGGGTGTCAGAGTGACTAATGATGTGGCCCACTGCATCTGCTGACTAATGTAAACCTGCCTGACATTCTGGTCTCTGCTCACAGTTTACGTCACAAACACACACACACAAAAACTGACCATACACAGTACTGATAACATTTGTAGTTGTGCATTTGAACATGTATAAACACACAGCGTATGCATTTTTAAAGGTCATATATAGGTCATATGTTAAATATACCAGAGTCTGCATGCGCACCTGCACTGGAAAACTACCCCGACTGTCTCATCTGCTCATCAACCCAAGTATCATGAACGCCACTTTCCGCAGACAATTTCTGCCTCCACTTCTTCTCTTCCCGTCCAGGTGCCTCAGGGCTGATAGTTGTGTTCTTGAGTGTCGCCTTTTTGTTCCCCTCACAGAGACACTCATATCATCTGCGCTCTCATGTTTAATTTACTCCCGACTTGTGAGCTTCCGCCTCTATGCTTCTGCTGAGAGTAATGGTGTTTGTCTTTGTTTTGACTATTTTTTTTAATTCTTTCTTTTGTGTGCATGTTTTATGTATGTCAGATTGTGGCGTGTACCATTGTGTGTACATTAGCGCTATGACACACTGCAACAGCGGTGCCCTACCTGTGCCACTCAGTCCACGGCGCTTTGCCTGCTGTGGCTTTTTGAGTGCTTTGTTTATCTGATAATAATCCGGCCTCAATCACAATCCATAATCCCCCTTCAACAATGGGCAACGAAATACCAGGTGAATAGCTTTTTGAAGTGCAGCTCTGCTCGTTCTTCCTGAAAATGGAAGTTTATTTAATGACAGTGTTATATCAGAAAAGAAGAGAAAGGGGAAAAACTAAATTCGCAGAAGAGAAAAGACACAAAAAGGCATGAGTTTATTTTTTTTGTTGCACGTGATTTTTCAATTCTACCAAAAGCAGATTGCAGCAGGCCCAATTTGCAAGGGACATACTTTGGTATAAACTAGCTTTAATACAAACAAGATAAGAGTCGAAAATCCTCAAAAAGCACACAGAAAAGGCCGCTCCTTATTATCAACTGGACAAAAAGAGGTTTAACCACCCAAGTGAGTTAGGGAGCCACCAACTACCATCCTCAGAGCCCTGTGCTCACTCCACAGCCTGGCTAAAAAGCTTAGCCCAAATCCGGCAAATGAGGCACGCACGCAGGCAGGAAAGCACACAGTGGTGAGGCTTTAACTAAATCAGAGACATTTAGGCAATAGGACCTGTGAGGGATTTTGTTCTCTAGGTTGTTAAACAAATTGATTTTGACCTTTGTGTGATAATAACTTTGAACATTTGTCATAGCCTATTTGGTTGAACCTGTATTATGAAGTGGAGGAGGCAGGGAGAGTGTATCTGTGTGTTTGTGTGAGGAGAGGCAGCGACTGCTAAAGCTCAGCTTGTCATTACTGGTCCATCCAGACTTCATGTAGTTCACATCTTTATTCACACTGTGAAACAGACAAAAGGAAGCTAGATGAGCATTTGCAGTCCTCTGCCAAGGCCAGTGCTCTGCCTTCCAGTTTTAAACAAAGTAATCCAGATCTGCACCAAAATTTAACGGACTCTCGCCTTGTAAGTGCTCCACCTGTCTGCAGTGTTTCATAACATTGTTTAGGTTAGTCTTGTGTGGAACGTTGCTGACGATACACACAGTCAGACGAAGAGGCAGCAAAGAGAATATACATCTGGTTTAGGTAATAATTGGGGGAAAAAAAACAACAAAAAAATCCCCCTGATTTAATTGGCCGAGCATGATTGCAGTACAGCAGGTTAGTTGGTGACCTTTTATTTTTTGTAATTAATTTATTACGTCATGATTTATTATTAAAAATTCAACAGTTGTGTCTTTAAATTTTATATATTTTGACTCTAGTAACGAGTCACAGTCAGTTAAATATTTTATGTTTGGAATCACCTGACAGTGTTTTTTTTCACAATGACATTGAAATCTTCATTCAATCACATAGGAGTGGGATCCTCTCCTATCTGTGTCTTATCAAACTTTTTCATCGACTGCACCACTTGGGAAAGTTGCTCTCTCCACATAGATAATAGAACGGGCATTATGTAATTAACAGAAGGTAATAAATTGCTAGTTTTGTTGTCAATTTAACTATAATTATTTTCTTCTTAAAATGCCTCTTAGCTGATTTTCAGGTCTTATTTTATCTAATGAAGGAGGACGTGTGAAAATCTGCGATTGCGATTCCCACTGGTGTTTTGAATCTCTGGAGCTTATCCCGCAGATCTCTCTCAGCTGTTTGGCTGATGTATAAAAATGGGATTCCAGGTGTTGTAGAAATCACATCCCGTCCACGCTGTCTGCTGTCATCAGCCAGCTGGTGAGACTCCATGCCACCATGATAGACAGTGGTAGCCAATCCAGGACGAGCGCTATAGCAAGTTATTTTATTTGTCCATGTACCGCTAGTGGCATTGGAAGCTAATATTTACACCGTTTGCCTTAAGTCCACTGTCATGTGGTCAATGAAAATCTGCCCACGTCTCCAATTTCTTCAGCAATTCATGTGCTTTGGATGTTGTGCTCATTGATGCCTGTACCCCAAAGTTGGAGAAATGGTTGATTACAGCTTTGTAGCCAGGATTAACAATGTCCACCTCATCTATCTTCACAAAGAGAGTTGACAAAGGGGGGAAAAAAAAACAACATAAAATATCTTATTAAGGTTTTGGGCCACCGTGTGCCTCCAAAACAGCTTCAGAATATTGATTCTCCACGTCTCTGGAACTCTACCGAAGGGATGAACGTCATTCTTTCAAAAGATAGTCCCTTATTAATGTTTTGATGATAAGCGCTGCCAAAGATGTCAGTCTAAAATCTCCCATGAATATGTTCAGCTGGGTTCAGATCTAATGACTTCTCCGGCCCTAGCATGTAATTGACATAATGTTCCTACTCATACTAATCCTTGTGCCCTATGGATGAGGACATTGTGATCCCATCAAATTAGAAATGTTTCCTCATAGGACAAAGGTGATCACACAGAACAACATTGTATTGATTTTGTAGTGACCCTTCGCTCTAAGGAGACAAATGAAGTCAAACCATTCCAGCAAAATGCCCACCACAGCATAAAAGAGCCAGTAGATCCCCTTCCTGTAGGGGTCAATGGTTCAGCTTTTTACTTTAATTTGAGCAGTCAGTCCCCTTCCCTCCCTATCAGTGAAAACAGAGACAGGAAATTAGCACTGAGTTTACAGCAAATCAGCAAAACATTCATCCAAAATGTACACAGTTTCAGCCTGAATGAGCAAAATGAAGCAAAATGATCAGTCTCATTATCAGGTTAAGGCTGTAATTGGCTTTCCCTCAATGTCATTTTATGCGTTATTTCATGAATCGTGAAAATTGTGCTTGTTGTCTTTTTTACGTTAATGGTGTGGGGCCTCAGCTTTACTATGTGCTTTT